CAGAGAGAGAGAGAGAGACCGAGAAAGAGAGAGAGAGACTGACTTTCAAGCAGGCTCCACACTCAGCATGGACCCCGACCTAGGACTTGATCTCACCACCATGAGATCATGACCTGAGCTGAAATCAAGAGTCGGACACTTAAACAACTAAGCTACCTAGGTGGTCCTCCTAAAATTAGTTTTGAAGCTACTGTGAGGTGACGTATTTCTGAAAAAGGAGAAAGAAAATGAAAAATGGAGGCTCTTCCCACTAAGTATTTGCCTCTCCTAGTCAAGGGACAACCTCACCATCTATAACCGCGACCAGTCCTGGGTGAATGTAAAACTGACTTTTCTCCTTTTGGTTCCATATTCAGGAATTAAAGGAGACTGTGGGATTCCTACTCTGGAGAAATATGTACCTACTCTCAGAGTTGGAACAACCTTTATGGAGTCCTTCCAACATTAACAAGCAGGTGGAGCTTTTACCCAGCCTCCTCTGTTCTCACGTAGCAGGTCACGGCTCTCATCAGTGGGCAGGACCCCACTGGGTAAACGGTAAACTTCTGCAGGTTTTAGTAACTGATCTGTTATCTACCTCCTCCCTTTCTTGCCTCTTGCTTATCCTTCCTACCTCTCAGCATGACCAACAGGCACGGTACAGCCTTCTGCTTGACCCAGCTTCCTTAGGCTTCCAGTAGAGCTTTTAAGAAAATAGATCTGGTGAAACAAAGTAAAGGATTAAGGAAGAGCCCACAAAAATGCCCTCAGACCGCCCCCCCCATATTCCATCTGCTTTGTTGGGGGCTCTTGAAACATGTCATTCTTTTTCTTCTGTTGGAATGGTGACATTATGTGATCTATGGATTCTTGAATATAATTGGGGCCTCCTGGGCACTTATCTAATATAGTTGTACATGTACTGTGGTTCTGGTGAAAAAGCCCAGTTAGGTTTAAATTTTTATTTACTTCTAGAGCAAAAGTTGTTTTTATTCTGGATCGCAGTGTAGAATTTTAGAAATTGTTACCAGCTGGCCAGGATGATCAGAGAAGACAATACTGATTGTGGTCTAATCTCCAGTGACTGGGCAATTTAACCTCATCATCAACGAGTAAGATGCTAATCTCTGCCAGTTAATTACTATCCGCCGACGTCTCCCACTTGCTGAAGTGTGAACCTCGGCCTGTATTTTCAATGGTTCCTGAAGGCCAGCATCATTTCTGTCATTACCTGCTCAGAGTTCTGCAGAGGCTTCAATCTCACTTAAGCGCACTGGGTCCCAGTCAGGCTGACCGGCCTTGTGACATCCTAGATGCCACCAGTCAACTGCAAGAACTCCAGGAGCTCTTGGACATACATATTCTTCCAACAGAACAGGGGCCATTCAGGTAATAATGCACCACCCCGGCTTCTTTTATCACTTATAGTCTTCCTGTGCTTCTCTCTGAGCTGTGGGCTAGCAGGTTATTCTTTCAACTTCTGTTCTTAAGAGAGGCAACCAGTTCCCCCCTCCTGAGCCCGGAAGAAGGGAAGAAGCCCATCGTTAATGGCCTGCCCTGATGGTTGACTTGCATCTCCTGGCTCCCTCTGGGTGTCACTAGCCCAGCTGCAGCCTTTTTTACTGCATTTTATAGTCTGGAACTGAACAAAGACCAGGCCACCAACTGGGTTATTTCAGTGATATTATCAGTGCTTCAGAACATCTTCATCAGCCAGCTAGTAAAGGTATGGGAAAAATGGGTCATACTGGCATGGTAGGCGGGGGGGTGAAGGGGAGGTACCCACTCTAGTTGCAGGTAGTTTGGAACAGTGAGACCCTTGGGTGTTAATTCAGAGTGCCTAATGTTTCTGCCAATTTGACCACACACACACACACACACACACACACACACACACACACACACACACACACACAGAAATAGGCAGAATGGGATTTGAGATATGAGTGAGGTAGTCACAGAAAAAACTAACCAGAACTGAGAGACCAGTAGAAACAGAGCAGAAAAGCATTGCCAAGTTAAAAAGGACAAGTAAAAAAATCAATCGGCATCAAACTACTTTTTAAAAAAGCAACAGAAAACTTAATTTTTAACAACTTTGGATTAAGGAAATTGTCAAGCCCCACAGAAATGTGTAGAGAATAGTATAACGAATTCTGCCGTTCTGTTAGCCAGCTTCAACAATTACTTCATTACCAGAACAAGTCAATCATCTATTTTGAAAAGAAAAATGCCTCACTTCATATCATCTTATCCATAAACATTTTAGTGTGTATATTTCTAAAAAAAAAAAGACTATTTTTTTGTTTTGTTTTTAAGGTTTTTGTTTTTTGTTTTTTGAGAGAGAGACAGAGCATGAGCGAGGGAGGGGCATAGAGAGAGACACAGAATCCAAAGCAGGCTCCAGGTTCTGAGCTGTCAGCACAGAACCCAACATGGGACTCAAACCCATAAACCGTGACATCATGACCTGAGCGGAAGTCAGATGCTCAAGCAACTGAGCCACCCAGGCGGCCTTTAGACCTCTTCTTTTAAAAACATAAATATAGGGGCGCCTGGGTGGCTCAGTCAGTTAGGCATCCGACTTTAGCTCAGGTCATGATCTCACGGTTTGTGAATTTGAGCCCTGAGTCGGGCTCTGCACTAACAGCTGACAGCTCATAGCCTGGAACCTGCTTTGGATTCTGTGTCTCCCTCTCTCTCTGCCCCTCCCCAACTTGCTCTCTGTGTCTCTCCCTCTCTCTCTCTCTCTCTCTCTCTCTCTCTCTCTCAAAAATAAACATTTAAAAAGAGTAAAAAAACAAATATAAAAACAATTATCACACTAATGTGTTAATATTTATACAATACAAATGTAATTTACACTATAAAAAGATTAAGATGGTTTTTATGTTGTGTATTTTAACGCTTTTTAAAAAAAAGCCAGGGTTCAGATTTTCCTAATTGTCTCATACATGTTTATTTTATAGTTATTTTGTTCAAATCAAGATTCAAATAAAATCCATGTGTTGCAATCAGCTGATACGTCTTTTAAGTACTCTTTATGCTTAGTCTACAGGAGCTCTTCCCTTTCTCTTCCCATTGCCTCCATTCTTGCTATTTTTATCACAGTGTATTTGTTGAAAAAACTGTATGTTGTCCAGTAGAGTTCTAACATTCTGGATTTTGGTTACAGGATTGTTTCTGCTTTAAGAACCATAGAGGATGGGCCTGAGCTCCCACAACCAAACCTGGAGAACTCTTAAAACTCTTGACATTCAAGCCTCACTTCAGACCAATTAAAAATTTTTTTAATTTTTTAAAATTTATTTTTGAGAGAGACAGAGTGCAAGCAGGGGAGGGGCAGAGAGAGAGGGAGACACAGATTCTGAAGCAGGCACCAGGCTCTAAGCTGTCAGCACACAGCCCAATGCAGGGCTCAAACCCACAAACCGTGAGATCATGACCTGAGCCGAATTCAGACATTCAACCAACTGAGCCACCCATGCACCCTAGACCAATTAAATATTGGTCAAAAAACCAGACCAAGTAATGCCTAGAGATGGTTTCCAACGCCCAGCACGCTTAAACTTCCCAGGTGGTTCCAGTGTATAGCCCCATTTGAGACGCACGGATCCCAGGGTGAACAAGGAGTAGGTAGATCTTAATTAAAAACTGCTGGAGGAGACCAAAAATATAACAAGACCTCTTTAGGAGACTCCTTTGTATCAAACACACAGACAAAGGCTTTCAGGAAATGAAAAATGTGATTTACAAATTTTTAAAATTCACAAGTTGAATTGAAGGAGATGTCACTAATCACCAGGAAGTTTAAGTAAACCAAAATAATGCAAAACATGAAATACATATATAAAAATACTGAATAAGGGTGAACAGACTTATTTTTTTTCTTTTTTAAAATTAAATTCTAATTAGTTAACATGCAGTGCAATATTGGTTTCAGGAATAGAATTCAATGATTCATCACTTATATACAACACCCAGTGCTCATCACAAGTGCCCTCTTTAGTACCCATCACCCATCTAGCCCATCGCCCACCCACCTCCCTCCCTCTGTCAACACGTCGTTTGTTCTCTATTGTTGAGTCTCTTGTGCTTTATTTCCCTCTTTTTTTCTTACCCCTACTTCCCATATGTTTACCTGTTTTTCTTAATTCTAAATATAAGTGAAATCATGTGGTATTTGTCTTTCTCTGACTTAAATTTCACTTAGTATAGTTCATTCTAGCTCCATCCACATCATTGCAAATGGAAAGATCTCATTCTTTTTGATTGCCAAGTAATATTCCGTGGTATGTATATGTGTGTGTATATGTATATGTATACACACACACATACACATACCTTATCCACTCATCAGTCAATGGATATTTGGACTCTCTCCATAGTTTGGCTATTGTTGCTAATGCTGCTATAAACATTGGGGTGCATGTACCCCTTTGAATCTGTATTTTTGTATCCTTTGGATAAATACATAATAGTGCAATTGCTAGAACGTAAGGTAGTTCTATTTTTAGTTTCTTGAGGAACATACTCTTCTCCAGAGTGGCTGCACCAGTTTGCGTTCCCACCAACAGTGCAAGAGGGTTCCCCTTTTTCCTCATCCTTGCCAATACCTGTTGTTTCTTGCATTGTTAATGTTAGCCATTCTGACAGGTATGAGGTGGTATCTCATTGTGGCTTTGATTTGTATTTCCCTGATGATAAGTGATGTTGAGCATCTTTTCATGTGTCTGTCAGCTATCTGGTATCTTTGGAGAAGTGTCTGTTCATGTTTTCTGCCCATTTGTCAACTGTGTTATTTGGGTTTTTTTGGAGGGTGTTGAAGGGAGAAGAGACTTAGACTGTAGATCCAGGATACTTAACATGCAGGTGATAGGAATGATAATAAGTAAACAATCCACTCTTGCAAAGAAATATTTAATTTATATTAAAAGGCCTCAACTAGTTCCAGGCACAATCAATTTTAAAAGATGCACTGAAATGGAGAATAGCTCTGGAACGGAGCCCGGAATTCTGCATTCCTGACAATTTCCCAGGTGCTGCTGGTGCTGCTGGTTCATTGATCACACTTGGAGTAGTATCATTCTGTGTAACAGTTTCTGTGAAAAGTCAATATCATGAAAAAATTAATGATGGGGGAGTATTCTAGATCCTTTGACTAAATAAGACATTTTTAACATGGATAGGATATTATTCGAGGAAATTATTGATAATTTCCTTAAGTGTAATAATGATAGAATGCCCTGGTTTTTAGGTGATACATACTTGCATACAGGTAGTCCTTGCTTTGTGCTGTTTCATAGTCTGTGAATTTTAGTTACATGGTTTAGTTAAATAACACCAGTGTCCCAGCAACACAGTTCAAATATCATTTACCATGGTCCTTGAACTGTGAGTGATTGCATAAAGTACTAACTGCTTGCTGTTAGCTCTTCAGTCCACAAATCACCACCTAAATAACAGCTGTACATCATGATCAGTGACTGTGTCACTTTTAAAGTGTGTGGATGATTGGCCACCTATTATCTGGCTTAGGTACAGACAGCAAAGTGTGTAGTTGTGTTATCTCCTTGTCTTCCAATCACAAACCCCTGTGACATTTTACAAAAAAAAAAGATAATCGGAAGAGGCAATTGACCCACAAAGATATAAGTAACAAAGAAAAGTGGAAATGCTGGAAGTGGCATTTAAATAGGTGTAATTGACAGGGGTGCCTGGGTGGTTCAATCGGTTAAGCATCTGACTCTAGAATTTGACTTAGGTCATGATCTCACAGTTTGAGGGACTGAGCTCTGTGTCCAGCTCCTCGCTGAGCACGGAGGCTGTTTAGGATTCTCTCCCTCCCACTCCTCCTCTCTCTCTCTCTCCCTCTTTCTTTCTCTCCCTCTCTCTCCCCCTCTCTCTCCCTCCCCAGCTCTTAGCTCTTGTACACACACTCTCTCTCAAAAAACAAAAACAAAAAAGCAAACAAACAAAAAACAACAACAACAAAGCAGGGGCACCTTGGTGGCTCAGTCAGTTGAGCTTCTGACTTTGGCTCAGGTCATGATCTTGCAACTTGTGGGTTCAAACCCTGCTTTGGGATTGCTTTTGTCAGCACAGAGCCAGAGCCTACTTTGGATCCTATGTCCCCCTCTCTCTGCCCCTCCCCAGCTTGTGCTCTCTTTCAAAAATAAACATTAAAATTTTTTTTCACCAAAAAGTGATTTTTCTCTATACAAAGTAAATATTTTTAAAAGCAAAAGAAATTTTATGATCACAATGGCCAAAAAATTTGTAAGAAGTTTATCTTCCCTGGAGTCAAATATATTAGAACAATAATATTCCAATTGGTTTTTAAAAATGGCAAAAACCTGATAATACATGGCGATGCCTCAACCCTTCACTGCTAGCGGAGGAAAATAAGGCAACACAGGGTAAAACCTTCAAATTCTGCATCCCTTTGCTAAATAAGTTTCATTTCTAAGGACCTATCCTGAGAAAATTCAAAGTAGTTTACTTTTAAAAATTGGCAACAAATTAAATGCCCCAAAATAGGGCACTGCTTAATGAATGTCTTAATATGAGGTAGCCATATCCATATAGTGGAATGCCAAACAACCATTAAAAATGTTAAAGAAAATGTAGTGACATGGAAAGCCAGTCCAGATATATTAAGACACAAGTGATTAAGGGATCTATTCCAAATTTAAGTTTTTCTTAAAATCTCTAATTCTTCCTTTTTCCCAAATTTTTATAAAAAACGTTTATCACTTCAGTTGAAAAAGCTGAAGGGGTATGCCCAGGTGGCTCAGTCAGTTAAGCCTCCAACTTCAGCTCAGGTCATTGTCTCATGATTCATGAGATCTAGCCCCACATCGGGCTCTGGGCTGACAGCACAGGGCCTGTTTTGAATCTTGTTTTCCTGTCTCTCTGCCCCTCTACCGTGCTCGAGCTCGCTCTCTCTTTCTCTTTCTCAAAAATAAATAAAAAAATTTTTTAAAGTTGCAGGGGCGTGTTGGTGGAAAAGTATAAAAAGGAAGAAATGGAAGCAGGTGTATTAGATTAGTTATTGCTATCGCTACAGTGTTGAATTTGGTTGGACCTGTGGCCAAGTGAACTTTCTACTTTTTCTCCCATCTAGTCCGGGGACCAGCCACTAGAGGGCCACCTGAGGTCTCCAGAGGAGACACACCCAGAATGGAGTGTCTAAAGTTGGGTGTGTGGCAACAGGCTGGAAATAGCACCCTTGTCTTTATTCTCCTGAGGACTAGAGCGCTTTCTTCCCCTCCATGGAGATTAAAGGACAAGGTGGAGGGGGTATACTTATTACACATGTAACAGATACTTTTAAAGTCTTAGTTACAAGAGTCCATGCTTACTTTAGCAAAAGAGAGACTTAATCGTTGGGATTTTTATCCCCAGGGGCATCTGGGTGGCTCAGTCAATTTAGAAGCCAACTTCAGCTCAGAACATGATTTCACAGTTTGTGAGTTTGAGCCTGGTTGGGTTCTCTGCTGTCAGTGCAGAGTCTGTTTTGGATCCTCTGTCCTCTTCTCTCTCTACCCCTCCCCAACTTATACTGTCTCTGTTTCTCTCAAATAAATAAACTTTAAAAAAGTTTTTTAAGAAGTGTAGCTTCTCCAGTCCAGCTCATTAGAGGTCTTCCAAAGACAGGTGGGTTTTGTTTGTTTGTTTAATTTAAGTAGGCTTCATGCCCAGCCTGGAGCCCAACATGGGGCTTGAACTCATGACCCTGAGATCAAGACCTGAGCTGAGATCAGGAGTCAGACACTTAACCAACTGAGCCACCCAGGCACTCCAAGAAAGATGTTCTTAAGTAACTTACACAGATCATCGCAAATCATCTGATAGTTAAACTTTCCTATCAAGCAGCTTACGGACTACAAGCAAAATTAGAAATGTTAACATTGTATTAACCAGGTCCCTGTGATTATGCAAAAATAATTATGAAACCACCTAATTTTTGGTTTTTCATGATAATAAAGGGTCAAATAATTGAAATGCATTAACCATAGTCACCTTGGATCCTGTACTGTCTGCTCCTTCTGTGATCTTCTCTGTTTCCCCTGTGATCTCTCTGTCTAGGCGATCGTCCTCACATTGTCCATCTCACTGATGCGGAACAGGATGCCGTGTCTTACCAAAGAGAAGGAACAACAAACAAGGAGGATCTTGGCACTCTTGGGTAATTTAAGTAGTTCTGAGTACCAACATCTGATTTTGCAGAGAGCAAATTGTATTGAAATACTGGACATCTAGCCACCTCACCGAGTCAGTCATCTATGTAGGGACCTTGTCTCTCCTTAGCTGGCTGCTCCTTCTCTGCTGCCCATGGAAAACCATTGTGTCACCACACTCATGTGCTCCTCCTGAGACCCTCTCGTGCTCTCTCAGTGCTGTGCCTCTTGTCCGGGTCCTGCATCTCCTTCCAAGTGTCTGTCTCACCCCTGAGCCCCAGAGGCTGTTTCCAGCTGCTCACCATCTTTATCTGGACACCTCTGATCAGACCTACCCCAATCCAGATTGCCTGGCCTGCAAACCCACTTCTTTACTCTTCTCCTTTCATTTAAGTACATGCCCACTCTCTAAAAATGTCAAAATAATCCTCAATTCTTACTCGTCACATTCAGTCACCACGCCTGAGGGAAACTACCCTCTAAAAACCTGATTGGAGCTGCTCCTGTTATGCAAATGAACCTCACAAACACAATGGTGAGCAAAAAAATTAACATAGTACTTTAATCATGGAAAACAGCACATATATACACTTGTGTGTATACATAGACATATCTATCTATCTATATATATTTGTATACATATATAGGTCTATATATGTGTATACAGAGATCTATATAGACCTATATAGACCTATATAGATCTCTGTATACACATATACATACACATGTATGTGTGCATATATATAATATATATATATGTATGTATGTATGTATTTGTGTCTGTGAAGAAATGCATGGGAATGATAAACTCTAAAATTCAGCATTGGATTAGCTCTCTGAAGGAAAGGAATACTATCACAGACAAACACTAACCAACTTTATTAAGTAGTGGTAACTTATTTCTTAAGCTGAGTGGTAGATACATTACTAAGGGATAGGCACCCCATTCCTTATGAGATTTGTAGAAATTAATCTGGTTTCATACTGCCTTCCTAGGCCTCATTTCATTTCTCCATGCTCTAGAATTGTTGTTCCCTCTGCCTAAAAAGAACTTTTTCTTTTCTTGTCCTTGTCCATTTGGAGAATTGTATCTGACTCATCCTTCACAACAAATGTCAAGTTTCACCTCTATGACACCTTCTCTCACTTCCTCAGGGAGATTTATTTTCTCTTCCGTGACTCCCAAGCATTTGGCACAGACGTGCTAGCAAGTTTTATGTCCTATTCTGGCTCCTTCTCTCTCCATCTTGGTTTACATGTCTCTAGATACTTCTCACGGTGTGGTCCGCAGACAGCAGCTTTGGCATCTCCTGGAATTTTAGAAAATGCATAATCTTAGGCCTCACCCCAGGATCTGCATTTGAACCACATTCCCAGGCGGTTCCTGTGCACATTGAAATGTGAGGAACCCTGCTCTCCAACAGTGCTCCCCACGTGCGGTTCACAGACTAGCACTGCTTGTTTCTAGTCCAAGATGAAAACAGAAAGTGAGAGGAAGTATTTAGAAAGTTTTATAGCAATCGGGCAGACCAATTTTAGACATATTGAATCTAATTTTTTTTTAAATTTTTTTTTTAACGTTTATTTATTTTTGAGACAGAGAGAGACAGAGCATGAATGGGGGAGGGTCAGAGAGAGGGAGACACAGAATCTGAAACAGGCTCCAGGCTCTGAGCTGTCAGCACAGAGCCCGATGCAGGGCTCGAACTCACGGACCGCGAGATCATGACCTGAGCCGAAGTCGGCTGCTTAACCGACTGAGCCACCCAGGCGCCCCTGAATCTAATTTTTAAAGTAGGACTTGGGGACACCTGGGTGGCTCAGTCAGTCAAGTGACTGACTCTTTATTTTGGCTTGGATCATGATCTCGAGGTTCGTGAGTTCGAGCCCCAAGTTGGGCTCTGCACTGTCAGCATGGAGCCTGCTTGCATTCTCTGTCTTCTCTCTCTCTACCCTTCCCCTCATTTCTCAAAATAAATAAACTTATAAAAAATGGGACTTGTATTTTACATGCTCCTGTTTTACTTCTTTATTCTAGCAATTCCTTGTTATTGTATTTTATCAAAGTATCTGTCCCCAGTGGACTGGAATTTTTCTTACGTCCTTCATGATAGTTTGAGAAGTGCCACTGCTGTAGCTTTATTCTTTGTGTTTTCAGCATTTAAGAGGAGGTACTCATAGTAGAGTTTCAGCAAATGTTGATGAATAACTGCTTAATGAAATATAACTGTTTTTTGGGCTACATTTGAATTTTTGACAGCACAATGTTCACCATTACCTGGTTCGAGAGATAAGAATAACCCCGTCTATACAGCTCCAGCTTTCCACAGCCCGGGTAAGTGACCAGAAAGGACCTTGAAAGAGAAGAAACATTTCAAGCTGACGGGAGATATTTTGGGCATGGAAAGCAAACAGTAATGTGTTGATCCTGTAGCACAATTCCCAGCAAAGGGGGAGTGAGAAGTAAATGAAAATACAGGGGAGTGAGAAGCTGTCTTAAAATACTCCCCTTGAAAAAAATATGGACTCCAGGGAGTGTGGTAAATGGGCAGACGCCTGAACTTAGGAGTCATGAGAAGTCATTATGTGCTTGAATAAGCACCTTCCTCTGCCTACAGAGTAGAGTAACAACTTGATCTGTATACTTCACAGGAGGAAAAATGAATATGCTTTCAAAAGTGGTTGTCCTCGGGGCGCCTGGGTGGCTCAGTCCGTTGGGCATCGGACTTCAGCTCAGGTCATGATCTCACAGTTTGAGTTCAAGCCCCATGTCAGGCCCTGTGCTGACAGCTCAGAGCCTGGAGTCTGCTTCGGATTCTGTGTCTCCCTCTCTCTCTGCCCCTCTCCTGCTCATGCTCGATCTCTGTCTCTCAAAAATAAATTGTTTAAAAAAAATGAAAAAAAAAAAAGTCGCTGTCCTCTAAGTACAGGGGAACTGGTTCAGCACATATCATGTTTGGGTTATCGCATTTCCTGGACCAAAGAAGACCAATTCTGTTTTTATCTGCCTTCCCTTTCTTGTGAACACAGTCCAGAGATAGCTAGAGAGAGAAAGGTTGGGGGCGGAGATGCATTTAGTTTTAAGAACTAAAATACAGCAATTTTTGTGTAGGATTTTGTGTATCTTATTTAAAGGAAGACTTCTGATGAGTGGCAGAGTAATTCTGGGAAGGAATATATAAATATTTGTAGATATGTATAGGCACCACCATGAGCCAAATACGTTGCCTCATCTGTTTTCAGTTGTTGGGTTGAATGAAATTGCCAAGGCTTGGGAACCATGAAGGAGAAGGTGTAGAGAATTTCTAAGCTAACCACTCAACTGTAATTTTTTTTTCCTATTCTTTCCTAGTACAAATCCTCTTCCTCATCTTGTTGATGACTGCGGTCTACTCAGCACAGAACTCCAGTAGGTTTTACCTCCATCAAGCTATTTGGAAGAGGTTTTCCCACCGTTTCTCAGAGATCAGACTTCTTAAGCATTTCTACCCACAGGCCAATCTCACCTTCCTAACCTTTATGGGGATTACAGAGGTATGGACACAGTCCTGGGCCCCCACTTCTGGGATGCTTCTTGTTCAAAATTTTCTACCAGTGACCAACACTTTGTCCTACCTTTCTGTCCTAAGTAAGCTGTATTTTGGAAATTGTTGCATTCATTTATCTCAGGATTGGTAGTTTCCTTTGGGCATTTGGAACACGGCCATGGTTCCTGGGGTGGCGGCAGGGAGAGCCCTAAAAGACACGTTCATCTCAGTAAAGGCTTTTTTGGGCCATTTAGGCAAGTGTTAACAGATGGCAACTCCTATGCCTTGCATGTTGATCCTTTCTAGTTCACTTCTGGATGGTGATACTTCTTGGTTCAGGGCATGTTTGCTTGCAGTCTGTTACTATGTGCGGAATGAAGTATTGACCAAATTAAAAGTGAATGGAACCCTGGGTGGCTGAGGCTAGTGCCATCATGGTAGGCGTGGTCCTCCTTCTGGACTCCGTGGCTCTGCAGTCTAGTGTCTTGGTCCAAAAGCACAGACTCAGAAGCAAGACTGACCAGGTTCACTTGTTAGCAGTGTATTCTTGGGTAAATTACTCAATCTCTTGGGCCCCAGTTTTTTACCTACATGATGGAGATACTCTTAGGACCTGCCCTGTAAGATTGATGCGAAGATTAAAAACTCAGTAGATGTAAATGCTTAGAAGAGTGTCTGACCCAGAGTATTTACTGGATAGGTGTTAGCTATTATTATTAACTGGGGCAGCTGGGGCTCTGGCTAATCTACTGGAACCACAAAGTGTACATGAGTTACCTAGACATGCTAAGGAAAAGCCCCAGCAATTGGTAGATGGAGACAGAGAAATAGAATTAAGTAGACCTGAGGTGAAAAACACTAAAACTTGGCACTAACGTGGTTTATCTCTTCAACTACTAGCAAATCTTTACTTTCAATTTTATTTATCTATTTATTTTTTTAGCAATCTCTATACCCAGCTTGGGGCTTAAACTCACAACCCCAAGATCAAAAGTCGCATGGTCCTCCAACTGAGCCAGCCAGGCACCCCACAAATCTTTACTTTCAGGATTGATGTAGGCCAGTCCTGCTAGTCCAGTTGTTTTCAGGAATATTGAAGCCCAAGCTATTCATGGCAGATAATCTGTTTCTTGTAAATACTTAATCTTCCTAAATAGCATGGTGCAGTGTTGAATCACATATAGGGAAGGATCTCTTTTTTTGGTAGGATTTAATTAAAAATCTTGTAGCAGTATGAGCTTGCCTTTTCTCTCTTGACTTTTCTTCCTGGGCTGAAAACAACTGATCAAAATTCTATCATAATTTCATGTACTTTTCATTTAAGAAACACAGAGTGAGAGGGGCCCCTGGGTATCTCAGTCAGCTGAGCATCCGACTTTGGCTCAGGTCATGATCTCACAGTTTGCGAGTTTGAGCCCCACATCGGGCTCTGTGCTGTGGGTGCAGAGTCTGTTCTGATCCTCTGTCTCCCTCTTTCTCTGTGTCCTTCCCCTTCTCATGCTCTGTCTCTGTGTCTGTCACTCTCAAAAATAAATAAACCTTAAAAAAAAAAAGAAATATAAAGTGAGACCATCTTTGAAGATTGTTAGCCCTCACCTTTCTCTTCTGTCTTCAGCCTCTCCCTGTCAGATTTCTCTCAATAATCTTTCATGTTAAAACAGGTTTTTTAAATAATTAAAACACATACATGGAGAAAACTCAAATGTGCCACAGGGTATATTGTGCAGCTCTCCTCTGTCCCCTAATCCTCAGAGACACAATGACATTCCCAATTTATTATATATTCTTTCGGAGGTAATCTGTGCATTTGCAAATATGTTTGGTAAGTGGTAGCCCACTTATAAACATTGCCACGAATTTTGTGTTTTTCTCTTAACAGTTCACCAGAGATTGTTTCATCAGTATACGTAAAGCCGCCCCTATGTTTTATTCATTTACTGTGTAGCATTCCTTTGGTCACATGTCTCATAATTTGTAAAACCAGCTCCCTATTGATAGACATTGAGATTTTTTTCAGTCTTTCATTGTTAATAATACTATTATTAATATCCTTTTGTGTACATAATTTCACACATGTACAAGTATATCGACAACATGAATATCTGGAAAAGATGTGGTAAAATGTGCATGCATTCTTTTTTTTTTTTTTTT